AAGTTATTTGTCAGATGAGCAGCAAATCAGGCATTTGTACATGGCCAGATTTTTTATATTTACAGATGTTCAGTATCGACACATTTGTCGCCTTTTGTTTTAGCGAGATTTTGTTTTTTGTTGCATTGGATTTTTCAGTTTTTATTGCTTTGGCCTGTCCCACTAGGCCATTAAATGCCCAAGTATGGCCTGCAACACCAAATCAAATGGGCCACTGAAATAAATCACTCTGTCAACATGTCTCGATAATCCAATTTCAATTGCTTTGCCCTTTCTACGATTGATTGAATTAAAGCTTGAAATGCTCCTTTTGTTCACCCACAGTATCGCCTCATCGTCACGTCAATCGACATCAGCACTAAAGAAGCACAAGAAGCAGAATCATCCTTTTTCCTCTAGTGTCGTGTATCTGTGCACTACATTGTTTGTCTTGCAACTATCCCGGTGTTGTCTGCCAGATGAGCAGTTAAAGAGCTGAATCACACATTGCCACTTGAATCTAAAGAAAATCTCATCAAGCACAGTATAGTTTCTATTGACTCGTTGATATTCGAGTCCATTACCCGGTGTGCTTCAACTGCCAAGTAGTTGGCTGCTCTTGCTGAGCAACGCAATTCAATTACACTCTTTTTCCTTTGCGAAATTGTAAATAATTTTCTAAAATTGCCATCATTAATTTGTTTTTGGCGCCAGCAGCTTGTACGNAAGTAGTTGGCTGCTCTTGCTGAGCAACGCAATTCAATTACACTTTTTTTCCTTTGCGTAATTGTAAATAATTCTCTGAAATTGCCATCATTAATTTGTTGTCATTTTTGGCGCCAATATTAGCAACTTGTACGATGTGTACTACTCTTGTATCGCTAAATCAAAAGTAAAGCACGGGCCAGTTGAGCAGAGTGCAGCCAAGAATTTTGAGCCAAAATGTTTAGATATCGATTAAAAATTTTAATCATTTTCGTATGCATCACCTCTGGTGTTGCAAACAGCCGTTAAAAGTAAAAAATAATTTTCGTAATAATCAAGAAAAGTGCTTAACAATTTCTTGGAAAAGTTTGTCTCTCTTTTTAGTCGACTCTTCAAATACCTTTTCGTATTCAGTCAGCTGATTCCTTAGCACCTCTCCGGGTGTCTTTGTGCCACTGCAAATTTGCTGCAGCTCGACTTCTAGAGCGGCTCTCAGGTGAGGCTTTGACATTGCATAGCCAATTTCATCGTATCCTTCGCAGAGGCCAATACCCAAGCCTTCTGGCTTTAGTCGTCTGTCGGGTGTTACGGTAATGTAGTTGCGCAATTTAATTTTTTCGATATGTTCAGCGTGAGTGGCATCAGTGCCAATACCGTGCTTCTCCATCAGGGCGATAAGCTGGGATTCAGTCAACAACTCGGGAGCACAGGTTTTGCCAGTATTCATCATGATTGAGTCGGGCGTAAATGTCTCATTCAGCGTAAACTTGGGAATTTCCTTATCGTGCCACTTTTCATAAATGTACACTTCTAGGTAATTGCGATCTTGAATTTCGAGGCCTTTTAAAATGAAAACCTCTTCTTCAATGGTCGCCTCAACGGTGACTTCATGGCCAAGAGCGTCTCTGTCGCAGCAGGCCAAAAAGTGGCGCGCAATCAGCTCGTAAACCTTTTTATCATCTCCAGTTAGATTGCCCGCATATTTGGTAGGGTGAATAGGTGGATGGGCTTGATCTGATTTGTTGCCTATGATGGAAAAATGCCATTAGCAATTTTGATTACAACTACAAGCCGACCATTACCATTACGCGGAGTTGCACCGCCAAAATTGAGGAGACGAGTGGCAAATTGACCCCATTCAGGGCTTTCCTTTTGGTGCCCAACCAGCGTGTTTAGAGACATGTCGGGGGGAAATTTGTTGGTCTCTGTTCGAGGGTAGCTTATAAATCCCGAAGTGTACAGCTTCTCGGCAATAGTCATTGCTCTTTTGGCGTTAATTCTCAGCTTTGAAGAGGCCAATCGCTCAAAAGTGACCGTGTCCATGGCAATGGGTCGGTATTTGGTCTTTTGACGACTAGTAAGATTGGTCACTTGTGCAGTTGGCTTTTCCATAATTTTGCTAAAAATGGCCAAGACTGATCGTTCATCAAAGAGTCGTACGCGCTTCCAGTTGAAGCTGCAGGTTATATTGTCCCGAGTAAACTCGACATCAATGTACCAAAAATCTTCGGGAATAAAATTTTCCCTCTTTTTCCATTGGTCGACGACAAAACCCAGTGTGGGAAACTGGCAACTTCCGTAGCTGACGACGTTCTTTTGCATTGCAGAGGATACATTTTGTATTCCCATGGTTAAAAATCGAGTAAATGCGGCTCCGATCCTCAAATCTAGTTGCTGTCGAACATCAACGGCATCTGAAACAAGTATTGATTGTAAAAAAAATTGACAGTAAAATGTACTTGCAAACCTGAAATTCTTTGATCTGGTGGCACAAGATTTCTTATAGCCCTGTTGATTGCCGGAACAGTAATCTCTGAGAATCGAGCCCGCAAGACACGAATGTTGGGCTTCTTTGCTTGGCAGACTCGTATGACTTCAAAGCCAATATTTTCGCCTTCGCGATCACAATCGGTCCAAATGATAAGGACGCTGCATTTAGCTGCTTCCCGCTCTAGAGTGCTTTTAATCTTGTTGCCATTAAGTTCACTTGGACCTTGGACAATGGGCGCGTTAAAGAGAACCTTTGGATCGCACGAACGCCAGCTTGCATGTGCCTGGGTAAATTCATAGTTGAGCAAGTGGCCCGAGACTGATGTCATGATCATGTCGCAGGGAAAGCGCAGTGACGGCACTTCGCAGCTAAAATCGTAAACCTTGTTGTAGACTGAGAATCCTTCTCGCCTCTGAAATGATCCACCGCTGAGAATGTTGGACACGTTTTTGGCAACATCGTTCTTTTCGGCCACGTTGAGAACCTTGAGGCGGTAGATGCTCATGTCAGCCAGCCGTCTTTTCACATGGGTAAATGAAAGCAGTCCTAGTCTTGTCGATGCAACTCTCGGATCGAGTAATCGAGACAAGGCAACTGTCAGAAGATTACGCAGCATGAAAAAGCGGGAACTTTAGATTCGGTTCCAAAATAATGTCAACATTTTTGTAAATAAAAGACACACCGAGTCGATATAGCTGCAGGTGCCGGGTGGCAATAGAGTAATTTCAGTAATTTCAGTACAGAATCAAATTGTAACTGTTTCACCATGTAATATAATTGACCATAATGAAAATGATAAAATTTACATGTGCAAAATGAATAAACATCTGTGGCATGATTTGTACATGGGTAATATAAGGCCATTCATTAGGAAATGCATTCCATTATGCTGCAGATACACAAAAAGTGGAAATGATAATACTTGAAAACGTTAAAATAAATGTTGGCGCAAATGCTTTCAACGTGAAACTATTCCCAGTAGCTTCTTCTTGGTGTACAGCGAAGACGGACGAGCCGAGGGATTTTCGGACCAGCACTCGGTAATCAAGAAGCGAATCGAGTTTAAAATCTAAAGTACAAAATTTTGATAAAATTTACAAAACACACATTACCACAAGGCTCACCTCAAAATGGTCACNAAACATCTGTGGCATGATTTGTACATGGGTAATATAAGGCCATTCATTAGGAAATGCATTCCATTATGCTGCAGATACACAAAAAGTGGAAATGATAATACTTGAAAACGTTAAAATAAATGTTGGCGCAAATGCTTTCAACGTGAAACTATTCCCAGTAGCTTCTTCTTGGTGTACAGCGAAGACGGACGAGCCGAGGGATTTTCGGACCAGCACTCGGTAATCAAGAAGCGAATCGAGTTTAAAATCTAAAGTACAAAATTTTGATAAAATTTACAAAACACACATTACCACAAGGCTCACCTCAAAATGGTCACTGTTTGAGTAATCCTTTAGCTGTGGCCTCATCTTTTGTGTGACCACCACATGGCGCATCTCCTCGATGGAAGGGTCCTTGGAAACGTGTCTTTCAAACGGCACCGAGTACGTGCTCGACTCGCCGTTTAGCTCTAGGCGATTGTACATTTCCCAAAACACTAGGGCCAGTGAATAGCTAAAAACAAGAGCATTAGTCGGTCATGTTGCAATGGTAAGACACCAACTTACAGGTCAGCACATCTGAAAAAGCCAAAGTTGTCCGTCTGGTTATTCGTCTCGGCGAGCACCTCTGGCGCCATGTACCGCTTGGTGCCCGTTTGCAGGCTCTGCGAGGGACCGTAGATGCTGTGGCTGTTGGGCGCCTGAACCACTGCCAGTCCAAAGTCGGCGATGCAGCATGTGCCGTCGCGCTTCATGAGAATGTTTTTCGATTTCAAGTCTCGATGGGCAATGGCTGGCTTGCCCAGAGTGCCAATCATTTCATTGTGCAGATGCTCCAGCCCATTGACAATTGACTGCATCATTCGCAGCAGGTGGGGCACGCTTCGGATGGGACGCTCCAGGAGAAAGTTGTACAGCGAGCCCAGGTGGTGGTACTCGGTAATGAGCCACAGCTGAGTGCAGCCGTTCCACGAGGTGACATCGGCTCCCAGAAAGCCGAGAATGTTTTCGTGTCGCATAATGACGGTCGTGTAAATTTCAATTTCGCGCTTCCAAGAGGCCTCTTCGCGCGAGTAGAAAATTTTGACAGCCACATCTTCTCCTCGCCGTCGGCCATGGTACACCTCTCCGTAGCGGCCCACACCAATGGGCGTCTTGGCCAGTTCAATGTCACTGGCCAGCGTCTTTTGCACCAGGTGCAGCGTTCCCGAGCCAGAGCCCGAGCTGACGGATGACTCGTTGACTGGCGGCAGTGACCCATTGGACGAGGTTACCCTCTGGGAGGAGAGTGTCGTCTGCTGCGTTTGCTCGCTGTTTATTGAGCCGGTAGTGTGCGAGGTCGTGGACGCCAAGTAGCGAAAGTGGTTGATGGTACTGTTGCTGCCATTCTGGCTATTGTTGAGGTAATTGTACTTGATGTAGGGTGAACTGCCGCTGCTGTCACTTGAAGCGCTGCTGTTGGCCGACCGCAGGTACGACAAGTGCGGCAGAGTTTGATGCGAAACGATGGGATAGGAAAAGGGCTTGCTGCAGTTGCTGTCTAGCAGCTGTGGCACTGGCAGCAGCGGCTTGCACGAGCCAAAAGAGTAGTTGGTCTTGTCAAAGTCGTCGCTTTCACATTGCTCAATCTCACACTTGGGCTTGGATTTTTTGCCCTTTTGACGGCGACGAATAAAGAAAACGAGTGAACTCAAGAGTGAAAAGAGAACAAGAGCGGCCAGTGCGTAAATGGTAATTTGTTGCCAGTCGAGTGGATCGGGCTGGTAGTGGTGATTAATGTCTGAAAACAAGGACAACAATTGAAGCAAACTGAAATGAAGCTCGAGATGGCAATACCTTGAATAACATGGGCGTCAATTGTCGGGCTCAACAAGTTGTTGCAAAAGTCTGAATCCTGACAGCAGGTAATGTTTTTGGGAATTGTGTGATCANAAGGACAACAATTGAAGCAAACTGAAATGAACCTCGAGATGGCAATACCTTGAATAACATAGGCGTCAATTGTCGGGCTCAACAAGTTGTTGCAAAAGTCTGAATCCTGACAGCAGGTAATGTTTTTGGGAATCGTGTGATCCGAGAGAGCTCCTTTGCACTGTAAACAACACTGGTGAGCACAGCTTAAAACACTAGTCGTCGAGTTACCTGAAGCAGTCCTTCAACATCGGGGGGAAAGCAGCCCCTGGTAGTTTCGGTGATTACCGTCCCATTGGCGTGGGTGATGGCCTCGGCGTGAGCAAAGCAGATGCCACCCGGTTTCAGGTGGCACACTCCCTCGACTGCCCCGTCCGGACACTTGTGTAAACAGGCACACTTGGTTGCTAGTTGGAGAGATAGAGACCAGTGGTTAGTGACACCGAGTGATCAAGGGGAGACTGATTACCCATGGGATGGCGAGTTTGGCACTGGTGAAAACAATGAAGACACTAGGCAGAGTTCCAATTGGAGCGAGTGGTGGTGGCTGCCAAAACTCGGCAGAAAGCCATCTTGAGGAGGTAGCAACGCGAGGAGGAAAAGGAGCAGCAGCAGCAGCAGCTCGAGAGCAGCCAACAAGGCGGGCACAAAAAGACGAGAGCGAGAGAAGAAGGACAAGAAGAAGAGGGACAAGAGGGAGAGAGTGAGCGCAGTGAGGGATTGCGCGGCGGGCAAGAGCGGATAGCGTCGATCGGCGGCCCTGGGGTAGGCGCTGCTGCCAGAGACCATTCAGTGCTGCCTGCTGCCAACTCTCCTCCAAGGCGAGAGTGGTCAGAGGGGAGACGGTGCTGGTGGTGGTGGTGAGCGAGTGCGAGTGCGAGCAACAAGTTTGCCCGGTAGAAACGGCCGTGGTGGCCAAACGTGATCCTGTTGCCGGGGGCGATAATCGCTCGAAGCAGTCTGATGTCTGTACCTCAACTGCTGTAGTGGCTAGAGACGCGCGCACGCACACATTTACACTCTTGGCTCACTCTACTAGTGGTAAACAACATTTTTATTCATTTAGCTGGACGTTGATTATAAAGGCAAGGGATTGTCGACGTGCTATGTACATGGCTCGGAAATAAACAGTTACATGCCCGAGTAGGCTGGTCCACCGCTTCCTGCAAAAAAAAGGTTTTTAGTGAGTGACAACAGTTGCACAAGAGCTCACCTTCCGGCGTGACCCAGTTGATATTCTGCGAGGGATCCTTGATATCACAAGTCTTGCAGTGAATACAGTTTTGAGCGTTAATCTGCAGTCGACTGTCGCCCGTCTCGGTGGGCACAAACTCGTAGACGCCGGCCGGACAAAAGCGCCCCTCGGGACCGTCAAAGACCTTTAGGTTGCGCTCCACCGGGACGTCGTCATTCTTGAGGGTGAGGTGCGCCGGCTGGTCCGCCTCGTGGTTTGTGTTGGTGAGCGCCACCGAAGAGAGCAGGTCAAAGGTGATTTGCCCGTCCGGCTTGGGGTACTCAATTGGCTTGCACTGGGCAGCTGGCTTGAGGTGAGCGTGGTCAGGGCCGCCGTGCTTTAGCGTCCACGGCTCCAGACCGCGCAGGGCGAGGTAAAAGGCGCCGGTGTAGGCAATGCCGCCAAAGAGTCCCAGTTTGGTGTTGAAAGCAGGCCGCACATTTCTCGCATCCTTGAGCTCCTTCCAGACCCAGCTGCTCTTGAGCGCCGTCTCGTACTCGACCGGCTCAAAGCCATAGTCGAGCTTGTCGGCGTTAAAAGCGTCAAAGATGGCCTCGGCGGCGACAATGCCGCTCTTCATTGCATTGTGGGTGCCCTTGATTTTGGGTGTGTTGAGAAAGCCCGGACTGCAGCCAATGAGGCAGCCGCCGGGAAAGGTGAGTTTGGGAATCGACTGGAGGCCGCCCTCGTTGAGCGCCCGGGCGCCGTACGAAATGCGCTTGCCCGTCTCAAAGTACCGCCTCACAGAGGGGTGCAGCTTAAACTGCTGAAAGGTCTTGAAAGGCGAGAGGTAGGGATTCTCATAGTCGAGGCCGACGACAAAGCCCACAGCAATGGTGGGCACGTCGCCGGCGAGGTGGTAGAGAAAGGAGCCGCCGTAGGTGTCAAAGGGCAGCGGCCAGCCAATGGTGTGCTCGACGGTACCCGGCTTGTGCAGTGCCGGATCAATCTCCCAGAGCTCCTTCAGGCCAATGCCGTACGTCTGCGGCTGGCAGTGCTCGCGGAGGTTGAAGCGCTGGTACAGCTGCTTGGCGAGGTGCCCGTGACAGCCCTCGGAAAAGATGGTGCACTTGGCGCGCAGCTCCATGCCCCTCTCAAACGAGTCCTTGGGCGAGCCGTCCTTGGCAATGCCCACGTCATTGGTCGCTATGCCGCACACCTTGTCGCCCTCATAGAGCACTTCGGCGGCGGCATAGCCCGGGTAAATCTCTACGCCCAGCTCTTCTGCCTGGCTGCCCAGCCACTCGACCAGGTGGCCCAGTCGGACGACGTAATTGCCGTGATTGTAGAGCGGCATTCCCTTAAAGATGGGAATGGGAATTCGGCCGCTGCCGGTGAGGTAGGCAAACTTGTCGTCGGTGACTGGCGTGTTTAGCGGTGCGCCCTTTTCCTTCCAGTCGGGAATGAGCTCATCCAACGCCCGGGTCTCGATGCAGGCGCCCGACAGGGTGTGCATTCCAATGGCACTCGCCTTTTCCACCAGCGTCACCTTGAGGTCCTTTTCATGGGCCAGCGCAAGCTTTCGCAGTTGAATGGCGGCACTGAGGCCGGCCGGGCCGCCGCCGACAATGACAACCTGTGAGGGGGAGGGAAAACGTGAGCACAACAACACTTGCTGGGATAACCTTCAAAAGTAGAGCAGCCGCAGCAGCAGCACCTACGTCAGTTTCATCGGCGGAGCGCTCCATGTCAATGTCCTTCCATCGCGGGTCAGTCTCTCGGGGCACCACCGTGTAGTGGGTGGTAATCTTGGGGCCCGAGGACAGATGCCTCCTCAGGAGCGGGTGCCACTTGGGCGAGAGCAGGTGTGTGGTGAATCGGTTCATCCTCTGCGACAAATGTTTCTTTCTCTAGCGGCAGTGCACCGAGTAACAACAAAAACCGAGTACAGCGGCAGCGCAGGCAATGCAAGGCTGTATGTACTCAGACGATCAGCTGCTTGCACTGACTAAAAGTCACTCGCCGCCGCCGCCGCCGGTTCTCAAGTTTGCGTGACCTCCAAGCAGGGGCAAAAAGGGGGGTTGCCCAAGAGTTGCCTAACACAACGACTAAATTTTTGTTACAACTGCCACCCTCGTCAACTGGTTTACTGACACCATTAGCGGTGCATCACTTCCGGCCTAGAAATGCAAGCTCTCTCCGTCCTAGCCAACTACGTTATCTCCCATTTTGAGGGCAGAGGCCTCGAGCACACGTCACCACACTGGTCAATGTCCGCCTGATGGCTGAAAGTCAATCTCGGTGGTG